CTCAGCGAAGCATGAGACATGTGATAAGTTGTAATAAACTGGATGCAACAATGAATAAAGTCAAACCAACAAACCAAGCAGTGATAAAAATGAATCCAAATCAGGCTAACCAGTGTCTGGTCCAAAATGGCATATCCTCTTTCGTTTATGGGATCAGTAAAACGCAGCATAGCGAAAGGAACGACTAATGTTCGCTAAGCCTTAGCCTGGCATTTGGCTTGCATTCCACGATAAGGCAGGACTTCAACTTCTTTAAAACAGATCGGCACATCGGGTAGAGATGATCAACGCCATTATGCCACATCCACGCTACTCAGCATCACCGGGACCTTCAGTGCCGTAGAATGCGAATTCTTCTAAACCGATAATGTTCTCATCATACCTATGATGCAGCCAAACTTCTTGTAGCAGTATGGCTCATGTATAGCTGAATGCCCCATGGTGAGAAGCACGCCGAACTCATCGAACTTCGGCAGTATGGCGGAACTACCGTTGCTTATTACGTCTGAAAGATGCAGGCGATTGGTCGGTCTTCAGTTGTGGCAGTTCTTCTGATTACTTCAACGGTCTGCTATAGATAAAGTAGGAACGAAGCCACGTGAAGTTCTGAAGTTAGCATGTGTTGCAATTTAATGCACTCTAGTTTGAGACATGAAATAGCGTCATTTTCATGAGGGGCAGGTGATGAAATTTCACTGAGAATTTGCCCCAGTTCTCAATCCTCTTCCTTTTCATCAAATCTACACCCAGAAAAACCGCACCTACGAAAGAAACAACTACACCTATCATCAGAATTTGTTTTCAGACAAGCACAATCCTCAGATCTTGCTGCTTACCGAGGAGCGGGATTATTGATCGACCGAGAAACGATGAAAAACAAGCGACATTTCGAATTCGCGATCATTCAGCTGACGGATATGGACATATTCACTTGAACATTTGCAAGCAAGCGCTCTAATTATCCCATCAATTGAAGCAATTTATTCTGGCTTTCAGAGATTAATGTGATAATTAAAAAATAAACTTTTGAAGCTTTCTGGACAAGGTGCATTACTATAACTAATAAAACGGCAATGCCATGAAACAGGGATCTGTATAAATATCTCCATAGAGCATAGGAAA